CCCCCCAACACGCTGCTCCTTCTGCAGCCCCCTCCCCCACAGAAGCTGCCTGCTCCCCCCCCTCCCTGCTTGGGCGTGGTGCATGGCTGCTGCCCTGGCCAGAGGTGGCCAGGAACTCTCATTTAGCCAAATGTGAAATTATAATGGACAATAAAGTTGTGACCTTGCTAAAGGACTCTGCTCCTGGTCTTGACTCTGAGGAGGGGGGCTTCTGGCAGGAACATAGGGAGGGTCTGAGGGCCGCCACCTTCTTCTCCTGGCTGGCCAAAGACCCCCCTTGTCTATAGAGACTCTCCACCCTCCAGGCCAGGGTCGTCCCAAAGGTGCTTTTTTCAGGAGGCAACTGGACTTTCTTGTTTTTCTTTGAAGACGTGTCGCTTCTCATCCTAGAAGCTTCTTCGGCTCTGGCTGGATGGTGGGGAACGGAAGGATTTATACTCCTTGCAGACAGCCGGTCATTTGCATCCTTTTAGAGGGTCGTTGAGGCCACTTGGAGGCTTACCTGTGTCCTCGGGGTCACCTGAGTGGTGCAAACGTGTCTACTTGCAGACAGTTGGTCATTTGCATCCTTAGAGGGTCGTTGAGACCACTTGGAGGCTTGCCTGTGTCCTCAGAAGCACAGATGGGGGTAGAGCCTTCTTGGAACTGCTGAAAGGAACTCCACACCCATTTGCACCACTCAGGTGACCCCGAGGACACAGGTCAACCTCCAGGTGGCCTCAACGACTCTCTAAAAGAATGCAAATGACCAGCTGTCTGCAAGGAGTATAAATCCTTCCGTTCCATACCATCCAGTCAGAGCCGAAGAGGCTTCTTGGATGAGAAGCGAAACGTCTTCAAGGGGAACGGAAGGATTTATGCTCCTTGCAGACAGCCGGTCATTTGCATCCTTTTAGAGCAGGGGTAGTCAACCTTGGCTCTTTTATGACTCGTGGACTTCAACTCCCAGAATTCCTGAGCAAGCTGGCTCAGGAATTCTGGGAGTTGAAGTCCACGAGTCATAAAAAAGCCAAGGTTGACTACCCCTGTTTTAGAGGGTCGTTGAGGCCCCCTGGAGGTTTACCTGTGTCCTCGGGGTCACCTGAGTGGTGCAAAGGTGCGTGGAGCCTCCTTAGTTGCTGGATGGTTTTCTACCCTGGGTCCCTTCACCGTTGGAGATGGGCCCAGGCCGTTGGGGATGGGTCTGCGTGAAAAAAGACAGAGAAAAAAAGCACTTTGGGGACCAAGACCCCCTTCCTTGGCTCTGCCCCTTTTGCTCCGCGGGTGAGACTTCGCCAGAAGGCG